TCGCCGCGGGAAGACTAACCTGAGGTCCCTGGGGCCCGGGCCTTCGCTGCGGCCTGCGTGTCCTGAAGCTCAGTCTCCCCCTCCAGGCGGCGGGCGGCTCAGCACCCACACCTGCACCCCCCTCCTCCGTAAGGCAAAACTCCCTGAACGCGAGGCAGCTCAGCGGACCTCCGCACTAGTTCCTTCCTTAAGGGGCCCAGGGCTCCACCCTTGACCCTCGGTTCACTCCCTAGAGGGAGGAGCTGACACCCAGCAGGCTCCTTCTTTCCCTAGGGCGTGACCTCCGCAGGTAACAACCTGAGGGGCTGGGAGGTGGCTAACGCCTGTGATCCCAGCACTTTGGGAGGCCCAGGTGGGGAAGGTTGCTTTAGGTTAGGAGTTCGAGACCAGCCTAGCCAACATGGCAAAAAACCTGTCTCTACTAAAAATACAAAAATTAGCAGGGCATGGTGGCGCATGTCTGTAATCCCAGCTCCTCCGGAGGCTGAGGTGGGAGAATCGCTTGAACCTGGGAGGCTGCAGTGAGCCAAGACTGCACCACTGCACTGCAGGCTGGGCAACAGAGCCAGTCCTTGTCTCAAAAAAACAAAAAACCTGAGGTTTTTTGTCAGGAGTAAGTTCATGAATTTCTTCCATCAGTCAACAAATAGTTAGCAAGCACCTTGTTCAGGCAACCACCAAGGGTTGTGCAGGCTGTGCACTGCACAAGGGGACTGGCCCAGGCCACATTAATTGCAGTCAGGGCTACGTCTTCTCCATGGAAGGCCGTCCTTTTGCAGTTTGCCATGGGCTGGTGGATGGTGATCCTGCCCTGGCCAAAGCCCTTATCTAGCCCACCCTTGATTGAGATAGCTAAATGTAAGGAGTATTTATTAAGTGCTGTATTAGTCCATGTTCATACTGCTATAAAGAAATACTCGAGACTGGAATTTATAAAGGAAAGAGGTTTAATTGACTTACAGTTTCATATGGCTGGGGAGGCCTCAAGAAACTTACAATCATGGTGGACGGTGAAGCGGAAGCACGTGGCAGCAGGAGGGAGCCAGGGAAACTGTCACTTGTAAAACCATCAGATCTCGTGAGAACTCACTATCATGAGAACAGCATGGGGAAAACCGCCCCCATAATCCAGTCACTTCCCACCAGGTCTTTCCCTAAACACCCAGGATTACCATTCAAGATGAGGTGTGGGTGGGGACACAAGGCTTAACCATATCAAGCACCAGCTGTGTGCCAGGCACCATTCTAAATGCTTCGGCTTCATCCAATGTCAGTAAAGCTCTTGGCAAAGAATAACACCAGAAGGCAGAGCCTGGGTGGCACTGCTGATCTGGCACAAGGTGGACTCAAGGGCTGCTCAGAGATGTCCACACACCCCAACCCCAGCCTGTGGCTGGGCCTCTAGAGGAAGCCAGCAGTACTGGACGGCTGCCAGGTGAGACACCTGCAGCTCACTGAGGGGTCTGTCCCATGAACCTGCTTCTGTGATGGTCTGGTTCCTGAAATGCCAACCCCTCTGTACCTTAGGCAGAAGCCACACCATTGTACCAGGTGCCCCGGCGGGACCACCTAAAGTCTGCCTTTCCTTCCAGAAACCACAGGGCACAGGTTAGGCTGGGCACACCTTTTATTTGACTGCATGCAGTAGGGCGAGGTCAGGAGAACACTGCTGTCCTTCCAGCAGGACAAGAGGCACGTTCCAAGGGTGGCTGGGTGGGAGACAGAGGTCTTGGGAATGCCAGTTCTAGGGGTGGGGTGGGGGCTTGGAATGCTCTCCAAGCCACAGGGGGTCTGGCCTGGATTTGGGAGGTGGGCAGGGGATCCTTCAAACACCCTACCATACTCATCCAGGGCTCACGTGTCCAGCTGTCAGAGCGGGTCCCAACCCTGCTCCCCACCTACCCTGGGACATCCTGTGCAGGATTCCCTCAGTCCTCTGGGAACCTGACCCCCACCTGGCACCCGTCTAGCTTCTAGGCTCTATTGATAGTGAGGAAAGTCCACACCTGACCTGGACCCCACTCCACTCTGGGTCTGCCCATCTCAGACCGGGCCTGAGCCTCTGGGCTAAAGCCACCTCTTCTGAGCAGGCAGGCAGAGTAAGAGACTGGGAGCAGCAGACAGGGGCAGAGCATGGCCCACGAGCCCACCCTCCGCTTCCCAGACTGGTCTGAGTTACATGGTCACCTCCCTGCACCATCAGGGCAGCTGCAGGCTTGCCAGATGTCTTGCCTGTCCCTGCTCTGAGGGTCAAAGAACACAGGTAGAATGGTCCCAGGAGGGGAAGGGAGAGACAGATCCAGGCTGGCCTCCAAGCTCGACTTTCTGAGGGGCCCAGGGGAACACACCGCACCTCTCACATCTCAGGTGCTCCGTCTCTGAAAGGGGCCCATGCAGGCTTCCTCACCCATCATTCAGGTCAAGACCTTTTGGGGAGAGCTGGCCCCCACCCCAGCATGTGAGGGCTGCCCACGCTGAGAGGCTCCACAAAGAAGAGGCAGCTGGGGGCAAGGGTCAGAGGTCTGGGGACGCCTGGCCTCCACCTCCCCTTCCCAAGCCCAGCCGCTTTCTGACAGCAGTTGTTTACCAGTCAGGGTTCAGCAGATGGGGGCTCAGGGGGCGTCAGGGCAGCGGGGGCCCGATGGTGATGCTGCTGTTGGTGACCCTCGGGCCGTACCAGCCGGCCCAGTAATGAGTGTCCACGCCGCCGTGCTGAAACCAGATGTAGCGGACGCCGGGCGGGTAGTTGGAGAATGTGTGGGAGACCTGGCGGGGCAGGTAGAGAGGGGAGAAAGGTCAAGGGAGCTGACTCAGGCTGGGTGTGGTGGTTCACACCGGGAATCCTAGTACTTTGGGAGGCCGAGCTGGGAGGGTTGTTTGAATCCAGGAGTTTGCGACTAGTTTGGTTGCAAACCAGAGATGGTGAGATACCATCTCTACAAGAAAAAAAAAAAAAAAAAATTAGCCAGGCACGGTGATGTGTGCCTGTCCTTCCAGGCAGGCTGAGGCAGGAGTACAGGCTAAGGCAGGAGTTCAAGACTGCAGTGAGCTGTGATCACGCCACTGCACTCCAGCCTGGACAACAGAGTGAGACCCTGTCTCTAAAAAACAAAAAAAAGAAAAGAAAATGAGCCTTAAAAAAAAAGGGTGGGAGCTGACCCTGAGTGTGGCACTGCCTGAGGGGGGCAGGGGAACAAGGAAGTGGCTGAGTTCTTGGTGCCAGTCTAGAAATCAGTGGAGTTCTAGTTTGAGCTCTGTGATTTGGGACAGATCATTTCCTTTCTCTGAGCCTCAGTTTCCTCATCTATAAAATGGAGCAAAATCCTGCTGGTCCACTCCACAGGTTTATCATTCAGCCCAAAGGAATGGAAAGAAACTGCAAGCTGCCAAAGGATGTCCAATATGCTCATCACAGGGCACATGTGTTATTTAAGCTAAAATTAAGTAAAATTGCCCTGCCTGGTGGCTCACGCCTGTAATCCCAGCACTTTGGCAGGCCGGGGTGGGTGGATCACCTGAGGTCGGGAGTTCGAGACCAGCCTGACTAACATGGAGAAACCCCGTCTCTACTAAAAATACAAAATTAGCTGGTGTGGTGGCGCATGCCTGTAATCCCAGCTGCTCAGGAGGCTGAGGCAGGAGAATCACTTGAACCTGGGAGGTGGAGGTTGTAGTGAGCTGAGATCGCGCCACTGCACTCCAGCCTGGGCGACAGAGTGAGACTCCATCTCAAAAAAAAAAAAAAAAAAATTAAAATTAGATGAAAAAAAAAATTCAGGTACTCAGCTGTACTAGAAACTGGCTCTTACTAACTGTTCCGTGGTCACATGTAGCTACTGACTACTTTATGGATAGTGTAGACACAGACCATTTCTATCACTACAGAAAGTTCTATCGGACAGGGCTGGGGTTGGCAAACGATGACCTGCAGGCCCACTGCCTGTTTTTATAAATACAGTTTTACTGGAACACAGCCATGTCCATTCATTTACATATTGTCTAGAGCTGTTTTCACACAACAACAGCAGAGTTAGAGAGTTGAGTAATTGTGACAAAGACAGTGTGACCTGCAAAGCCTAAAATATTCATGTCTGTCATTTTAAGAAAACATTTGCTAGGGCTGGGCACAGTGGCTCATGCCTGTAGTTCCAGCACTTTGGGAGGTTGAGGCAGAAGGATGACTTGAGGCCAGAAGTGCAAGACCAGCCTGGGCAACAAAGCAAAACTCTATCTCTACAAAAAAAAAGAAAAAAAATTTTTTTTGAGACGGAGTCTCGCTCTGTCGCCCAGGCTGGAGTGCAATGGCCGGATCTCAGCTCACTGCAAGCTCCGCCTCCCGGGTTCACGCCATTCTCCTGCCTCAGCCTCCCGAGTAGCTGGGACTACAGGCGCCCGCCACCTCGCCTGGCTAGTTTTTTGTATTTTTTTTAGTAGAGACGGGGTTTCACCACGCTAGTCAGGATGGTCTCGATCTCCTGACCTCGTGATCCGCCCGTCTCGGCCTCCGAAACTGCTGGGATTACAGGCTTAAGCCACCGCGCCTGGCCAAAAAATTTTTTTTAATTAGTGGTGGTGCGCACCTGTACTCCCAGCTGCTCAGGAGGCTGAGGCAGGAGGATGGCTTGAGCCTAAGAATTTGAGTCTGCAGTGAGCTATGAATGCGCCAGCCTGGGTGATAGAGACCCTGTCCCTAAAAATATGTAAGTAAATTAAAACAAACAAACAAACGTTTGCTGACCCCAGTCTAGAAAACAGTAATAATCAATACTAGTAATTAGTAACAGTCAAACAGTCAACCTTTTGGAATTTTTTTTTCTTCTTTTTTCTTTTTTTTTTTTTTTTAAGATGGAGTTTCCCTCTTGTTGACCAGGCTGGAGTGCAATGGTGCGATCTCGGCTCACTGCAACCTCCGCCTCCTGGATTCAAGTGATTCTTCTGCCTTAGCCTCCTGAGTAGCTGGCATGCACCACCACGCCTGGGTAATTTTGTATTGTTGGTAAAGACGGGGTTTCTCCATGTTGGTCAGGCTAGTCTTGAACTCCCAACCTCAGGTGATCTGCCTGTCTGGGCCTCCCAAAGTGCTGGGATTACAGGTGTGAGCCAAAGCGCCCTGCCAACCTTTTGGAATATTTTTTGGCCCTGGCCTTGCCAGCATCATTTCACTGATTTCTTTCAGAGCTCTACGATGGAAGCACTATATACCCATTTTACAGAAGCAGTGAGTGAAGCTCAGAGCATTGGAAGCACAGGTGAGAAGGTGCAGAGTTTGGATCTGAACCTAGGCCCCATCTGACCGCAGCCTCAGCCTTGGACAATCTGCTTCTGCCCCTGCCTCCCAGGCCCACGCACCTCCCTCCACTTGGCATCGCTCTTCTGCTGGATGGTTGCCGGGTCTGGCTGGAAGGTCCCCAGAGGCGCGTGCGCGGACGACAGGAGCTGAACGCACAGCTGGTACTTGGACCCGCAATCTGGCCTGGCTGCGAACCTGCAGGGAGAGGGAGGGCCCATCAGGGCCTCGGAGATTGGGGGCAGGGCAGGGGTGGGGCGCCTGATTGGCATGCCCCCCCCCAGACCCTTGCCCCAGGCACTCACCAGTCCTTGACCTCGATGTCCGGCCGTGTGGTATCCATCAGCTCCTCCCAATACCCTTCGGCCTTGAGGTCCACCACCTGGGACTTGAGGCAGGTGCTGGGGGCAGGCAGAAGGGTGGGAGGGGCTGGGGCTCACCATTAGGGCAGTGAGGGGCTAGGACTGCCCCTTTCCAGGGTGGGAGGGACCCCAGGGTAAATAGATTTGGGCTTTCCCCTACCCCAAGTCCCCGGATCTTACTAATATGAAGTCACGAAGTATTTCTTGACCTGGTCATTGGGGAATTCCTTCCTCTGGTCTCGAGAGAGATCCTCCACCTTCCACTCATCGCCTCCATTCACATCCAGGCTCCAGAACTCGAACCCCTCTGATGGAAAAGCAGAGTTCACACTGAAGGGAAGCCCCTCAGTGGCCACCTTCTCCCAAGTGCCCCTTCCTCCCAACTCCTCTGCCCGCATCTTGGCGGCTGCCCTCAAGCCCTGTGCCGTGGGACGCTGCAGATCACAGTGGCTACCGCGTATTAGGTGCTTCCTGTGTTGCAGGCACAGGGAGGTGACTTCCCTGGGGGCCCTGAGACACATGGTGATGTGAATGACCAGACGTCTTCTGTGATGGAGAATGCTCTGATGTGGGCCAGACAGACCTGGGTCTAGTCCCAGCTCTACCAGCACTTGGTTGTGTGACCTTGGGCCAGTTGCTCTTCCTCTCTGACCCTTGGTTGTCTCCTCTGTAAATTGGAGTAAGAACAGGGCCTGAGAAGCTTTTTTGGCAAAATGCCAAAATATTTTAGGACTTGTGGCCCACATACTATCTCTATTGTATAGTTTTTTGTTTGTTGTTGTTTCTTTTCCTATAACCCTTCAAAAACATAAAAACTTTTTTTTTGTTGTTTGTTTTTTAAGACAGAGTTTCGCTCATCACCCAGGCTGGAGTGCAATGGCTCGATCTCGGCTCACTGTAACCTCTGCCTCCTGGGTTTCAGTGATTCTCCTGCCTCAGCCTCCCGAGTAGCTGGGATTACAGTCGCATGCCACCATACCTGGCTAATTTTTGTATTTTTTTGTAGAGGCAGGGTTTCGCCATGTTGGCCAGGCTGGTCTCGATCTCCTGACCTCAGATGATCAACCCACCTTGGCCTCCCAAAGTGCTGGGATTACAGGTATGAGCCACTACTTCTGGCCCAGATGCCTTCTGTGATGGAGAACGCTCTGACGTGGGCCAGACAGACCTGGGTCTAGTCCCAGCTCTACCAGTACTCAGCTGTGTGACTTCAGGCCAGTTGCTTTCCCTCTCTGAGCCTCAGTTGTCTCCTCTGTAAACTGGAGTAAGAACAGGGGCTGGGAAGCTTTTTTGGCAAAGTGCCAAAATATTTTAGGACTTGTGGGCCACAAACTATCTCTATTGTATGGTTTTTTTGGTTGTTGTTTCTTCTCTCTCTTTTTTTTTTTAAATAATCCTTTAAAAATGTAAAAACAGGCCAAGCACAGTGGCTCACACCTGTAATCCCAGCACTTTGGGAGGCCGAGGCGGGTGGATCACCTGAAGTTGGGAGTTCCAGACTAGCCTGACCAACATGGAGAAACCCCATCTCCACTAAAAATACAAAATTAGCTGGATGTGGTGGCGCATGACTGTAATCCCAGCTACTTGAGAGGCTGAGGCAGGAGAATCACTTGAACCCAGGAGGCGGAGGTTGCGGTGAGCTGAGATCGTGCCATTGCACTCCAGCCTGGGCAACAAGAGTGAAACTCTGTCTTAAAAATAAATAAATAAATAAATAAATAAATAAATAAATAAATACATAAAAACAATTCTTAATGCCTCAGCCAGATTTGGCTCATGGACAGCTGGGAGGAGTTGTTTTATTATCATTTTGCTCCAGAATTTGGTCAAATTGTGGAAAATGAGGTTCCCATGCCATCCCAGTGTCTACCCAACAACACAGCAAGCAAGGATCAGTAGAAACCTTGCTTTACCTGTTGTTGTAACATCCTGGGAAGAAGACCGGATCTCCCATTCTTCCACAAGCAAAACCCCTTTGGCCCTCTGGGACCATGTCAGTAGGCCCAACCCTGGAGCCTAGAAACTAGGCCAACAAAACATGGCTCTGACTTCCTTGCCTTGTGTCTTAAGCAGAATTAGTCTCAGTTGGCCAACATTCCCTTTCCTAGGAAAGGTCACTGGGGAAATAATCTTAAGAGTAGAATAAGAGGCCGGGCGTGGTGGCTCATGCGTGTAATCCCAGCACTTTGGGAGGCCAAGGCAGGCGGATCACTTGAGGCCAGGAGTTTAACACCAGCCTGGCCAAATACAGGCTGGTTTAACAACCAGTCTGTATTTTAATAGAGACATGGTGAAACCGTGTCTCTATTAAAAATACAAAAAATTAGCTGGGCATGGTGGTGGGCACCTGTAATCCCACCTGTAGTCCCAGCTACTCGGAGGCTGAGGCAGGAGAATCCCTTGAACCCGGGAGGTGGAGGTTGCAGTGAGCCAGGATCGCACCATTGCACTCCAGCTTGGGCAACAGAGCGAGATTCCATCCAAAAAAAAAAAAAAAATTAGCCAGGTATGGTGGCGCATGCCTGTAATCCCAGCTATTTGGGAGGCTGAACCTGGGAGGTGAAGGTTACAGTGAGCCAAGATTGCGCCACTGTATTCCAGCCTGGGTGACAGAGTGAAACTCTGTCTCAAA